GTCATCCTGGGAAGGCACAGCACTTGGTTCCTGAGGGTCTCCTCGAGTCTGCTGTGCCCCTTTGCAGGTGTGTTCCCAGAAGCTCTTTGATTTCTTTGCTGAACTCCTGTACCTGCATCTCGAGTTCTGACACCAGAATGGCGCGAGTATTAGACTTCATCCACAGAAAAAATGCAGGAAAGCACAAAAATGGCTTTTGCTGATGTATACCAGTCACTTTAACAACACAGACACACTGCCCACCATGTTGGCCGCCACAACTACCCAACCACACAATGGGCATGCGCAAGCGCACGCGCACACACACACACACGCGCGCGCGCACACACACACACACACACACACACACACCATTATTAAGCAATAACATAAGAGAAAGAGTGTGGTTGTAATAGATCACGACTGTGATTTGATCGTAGGCATGAGGCAGGTCTAGCGTCACCCCTGGAAGCTGCATGGACGCAGACACCGTCTCACTGGCTCTGCATCACTGTCAGCTGTCGCCACCACTGGCAGGCAAAGGAGAAGGTCCAGCTCACTGCGGGGACGTCCACCGCCTGCACAACACATGCTAACTACATACAGCTACTTTCATTATTTACATTTGGCATTAGTCCTGCATGCCAGTTTGTCCGATGAGTACCTCCCAATACAATATTCTGTCACCGGATTCTTCCTTTCAAGATTATCTAATATATCCTCCTGAGACCCGAGGAAAATAGTGTCCTTCAATTGTAGGTTATTTGTCTTTGGAGGAAATAAAACATCTTACAATTTAGATTTTTTCAAATTTATTCTTATTTTAATTTCACAGCATGTCCTCTTTAGTGCAAAACAAGAATAAATACGTTTCCCAACATCATTGAAAAAATAAATGCAAAAATACAATGTCCACTACAATGGACATAAATGAATAGGTCGGGTCTCAGGAGGATATGTTAAAAAAATAAAGTTTACCGCAGCTTCTTTTGCATGAGATCTACATGCATTCTCTGAGACAATCAATCTTTGTCATCCTTGCTGTTTAAATCGCTCATAGACAGGTTTGTGAGACACTTAGCAGTCCTTTTTTGTTGTCTAAATATTGCAATATTTATCACAAAATTTCACATCGCGATACTTGAAATCCAATGTCGTGCAGCAGTAATGCTAAGTATGAAATACTAACTACTACAGAATTTCTGACAACATGCTGCATTCAGCATGAGAAAGTAAAGCGATGCACAAAGTACCAATACCAAATGGGGCAGTAGGTAGAATATAGAGAATCCTGCCTCAGTATGTGCAGAACTAGCATGTCACTGCAGAGACAGCCAGTGTATAACAGTGTATAAGTGCATAACTTAAGAACTTTTTTTATTTAAATGCCTGATACCCCAAAGTTATTAAATATGGTAAATAAGAACACAAATAGCAAAAACATGTTGCCATTTTTATTAAAAATTTGATTCAAATTAAAAACAGAGGGATTATCCTGACCTGGGGCTTATAGTGAAGAATGCTAAAATGATTAAATTTGATGACTAGTATTGTTGAAAAGGTGGCACTCTCGTCTTTATGCTCAAAACATTTTTCAATATACATTGACCTACAGAATATATTTCTAAATTATATACTGAAACCATGAACTTCACGACACAGAGCAGTAGATTTTTTTTCAGTCCATTTATATTTAAAATATAAACAGCAGGATATCTGGCTGATAACTAGCTAGCTAGTGTCTGTTTCACAAGAAGAGTAAAGTAATAAAACTAATTTAAAAGAATCAAACCAGCAGGGGGTAATAACAAAATGCCACTGTATTATTTTCTTTTTTTCTCTTCTTCGTCGTCCCAGTGCCCGAGTTTCTTTTGACCGTTTCATTTTCTTGACAGTCTCGCCAATTCAGTGACTGCGGAATGACGCGTTATTCTAATGCGTAATGGGGTTTGCGGAAGGTCATACTGGCAACTGATGTCATTATTTCAACCGTGCAGATAACTGCAATGTCACGGAACGTAGGCACAGGTATTCCTGCAGATTTTTCCCACTCGCTCATTTGCGCCCCCTAATCAAATGGCTCCCAATTCTATCAGCTATGTCGCTTACAAGGACGGGCTGGCCCTGGTGCTCACGGTTCCGAGCGTTTGTCTGTGTCTGTACCCAGAATGCCCACACACTCCAGAAGCTTCCTGCCAGAGGCCTGGGAGACTGAGAAGCTGTAACAGCAGACAGATTGATTTGCATTTTAATTTATCCCTCCCCCCATCCTGACAGCCCTCCGTTTCCCTCCTCATCCCCTCCGTTCCTCCCCTCCCCAGGGTTTTGGCTGCTCAGCACAAGCTAAATCGCCTCATTTTCTTTGAAAACAACCCGCCTTCTCCACTCCCAGCCTTTAGCGTCCTGCTGCCAGGGGGTAACGAGCAGGGAGCTGGGCAGCGAAGCTAATCGCGTCAGAGCTAAATACTGAGCAACTCTGGGGTCTTGTCAGGTGAGATCTTTCTGGGCTTTGACAAATAAACTTAGTGGTAAAGTGCTTGGCTGTGGAGCAGGTGCACGTGCACATGCACACCCACGCACATGCACACCCACGCATGTGCACGTGCACACCCACGCACATGCACATGCACACCCACACACGTGCACACCCACACACACACACAAAAGGCAGGAGAGTAACCCAAATTCACACAGTAGCTGCCTCTGACACCCATGTCATTGCTGGAACCATCATTAAAAGAGAACAAACCAATTTTTGGACAATAAGTTTTAATTGCCATAAACTGGACCAGGGCAGTGCTCAAAAAAAAAAAAACATTCAAGAACTTTGGAGCCAGAATTCCAAAACAGACCCTCTGCTACCTTCACAATTACAGTAATAATGGTACTGACCAGCCAGGGCCAAAGACACAGAGGAGCAGCTATACAAAAATGCCATAACACATAATGCCTTTTATGCCATAACAGTATGCTGACCAGCCTTTAGTCACATGAAAAGTTTCTCCAATCAAAGCGGGTCTTTCGTTACCGAGGACACACTAAGTGACGATCAAACCGGCGCCCTTCAGCTCTAAGGTCGGTGCTTATCGATGTCAGAAATCCAAAACTGCAACTCATCCAGTACAGTCAGCACTTGGTTGCCATAGCATCCATTCATCTGTTGTGTTAAGATGTACAGATGTTTATGACTAAAATAAACATAAACATATAAAATCAGCATTCCTACATTATTGAACACTGTAACTGGATTTGTAGCTTCTGAGCTATAATCAGATTTGGATGGGCTCTGCTGGTTTCTTTCATGTTTGGGAGATTAACGAGTGTTGATGAGCCCCTCCTTGAACACCATCATATCAGGGTGATCAATTATTCATGACTTGTTTACGGCTGCTTGGCTCAGACTGCAACACTGTAGACTGGTGACATGCGGCCGCCCCCCTTACCACCAAGGGATCGAACCCCAGCCACCTCGCTGAAAACCTGGCAGGGGGGCTGGCGGTGGGGGAAGGGTGTACATGAAGCAGAGAGCCAGGTCGTAGGGCTGCTTGTCACAGAATGGCCGCCTCCCCCTTTTCCAACCCTCCCGGGAGACCAGTCTGGAGGAATGGCAGCAGGAGCCAATCAGCAGCTCAGAATCCACAGCACCAGCACACATTCGCCCGGCTCCCCAGCAGGAGCCAATCAGCAGCCCCGGCACCCCAGCACCAGCACACATTCGCCCAGCTCCCCAGGGATCCAATCAGAATTCATTCCAAATCAATTCGGGGAACAAAACCTCTGTGCATCACCAAATGCTCATTTCAATCCTATTTAACTAAAACTCTTAGACTTAGGAGATGGAATCCTGAGTGATCAGTTTCCTTTGCTCACCACACACTCACAGCAAGCAGTCAAGAAATTGTGATTGGGTGTTTTCACACTGCAGAAACGTTTTTCAGGAACCAAACCTATTTCTGGAACCAGGAAACTTTGTCGTGTTCACTCCGCAGGAACTCGGTCCGGATTGTAGTTCCTTGGAGGCAGTTCTGGAACCCTTTTTTGGTCCCTACTCCAGACTAAGTACTTTTTGTTCGAACACAAACTACTGGGCAGGGGATTACAACAACAAACTTGCTGAATGGTTGATTACAAGCACCAGGGCTAACTTGAGGAGTTATGCAGGAGTACAGGGAAAAGTTATAGAAGTAGCGGAGTAAAAATTGAGCAGATGGAATTATTTTTGCACCTCAATTACATTTAATGCATCAATGAAAACCTTTTTGCTTGCATCTCTATATTTCTACATCAGAAAAATCAACTGATATTCGATATACTTTTGTCTAGTACAGCCGGTGCTGGTGGTGAAATTTACTATTAGCAAAATAACGTTACATCGTTTTTTATTATATGTAAAGCAGAAGGTCAATCTGCTGGCCAGATTTAATAAGAATGTAACAGGTCATATAAATAAAGTATGAATAAAAGGCTGTGTCCTGTTTTGATCATGACTGATCTCCTCAATAACCAACAGAACAACTTGTTCATGTTCCATTGCTTTGGGGTGGTGGTGTAGTTTTGTATAAGATTATGTGTTAATTCTACAAGCTTTTTGAGTCTCTGCTGCTTTTTTAGCATAAAGCTTCCAGTTGCAGTTGTGCAGTGTGAAAGCAACACATGGAAGTAGTCAAGAGCGACAAAAGTTCCTGATCAAGACGACCAGGACCTTGTAAACAGGGGCCAAGTTCTATAACCTTGGTGTGAAAGCGCCCGTTATTTGTCCAGAGGTGGACATTTCAGGTCCAGAAAGTAAAAATCCAAACCAGGATTTTGTTTCAACCAACCAGTTGAGCATAAAGAGTAACAGACACAGAGTACTCAACTGGTTGGTTGGAACAAAATCTTGGTCTGGATTTTTACTTTCTGGACCTGAAATGTCCGCCTCTGTATTTGTCGATGGTGAAGACCCAATCGTAAGATTTCCCCAGCTGGGATTGAAACCGAAAACCCTCAGGCGTGGGGAGCAGCAGTGTCACCCGACTCACCTCCCCCTTCTTGACGGTCATGGACTGGCGCCGGGGCGTGATCTCCTCATTGATGCTGGACAGGAAGTTCTGGGAGATGCGCAGGGCGTCTTGCAGCAAGGGGTGGTCCGGGTGGCTGGGGGGCGTGTGCTTCAGTAGGTCCTGGGCCAATGACACGCGTGACACAGTTCAAAAGCAGAAACCTCCGTGCTGACATTTCACCTTCAGTGTGGCTATACTGTCATAGTGAGGTCATCGCACCCTAAAGCAAAGTACTTAACCAAAGCGCTTCAGCAAAAAGCGGGAAAAATGCATAAAATGTGAAGTACGTGAGGGAAGGATGATGGTGAGTTAGTGCAGGAAGCCAGGAATGTCGCAGGGCTGCTAACCCTTAATCATTTTTATCATATAAAATGCAAATGAAATATAACGGCAGGAATTTAAAATTCATTTCAGATTTTTAACTTGCAAAACATGGCTGGCAGACAGACAGACAGACAGACAGACAGACAGACAGACAGATAAAGAAACGGGTGTGACTTTGCACTCACGTGTAGCACCAGTGTGCTTCTGGTCACTTTGTCCACTGGCTTGTAGAGGAGAGCTGTGGGGGGGGGGGGGGGGGGGGGGGGGGGGGA